GATATGGTCTCTAGTTTTTTTCTCATGTCGTCGATATATTAAATAGACATTTTGTAATTATAATGGTCTTAATGATTTGTCATCTGTAAGCTTTAAGCTTTAGCTCCGTTTAAAATGCACTTCAAAAAATTTTATAATAGCCCAGCATTGCCAGAAAATAATTTCTATTCAAAGTAGATCGGTAAGTGAAAGTTGTGTGTTGCGCGCACCAGATTTTTTTATTATAACCTTAAAAGAAAGTTGTATTGTTTTTAAATCCTCTATATTTCACATTAGTGGTTTTTCGGAGGCTATTTTTTTCCGAAATACGATTTCTTTTTCTTCTAGGTTATGTATTAATGATTCGTATTAATTTTTGATTTCTTTAGATTTTGGTCACTAGTTGTGCCTCGAGTTTTCATTCGTGTCAAATTTAGATAAATATGGAAATTATGAGTACTTGATCGAGAAAATCTAATTAATTCAATAACGAAATGTTTAGGTAAAAACAAAAGTTATTTACTTAATACCAATTACTCATAGTGTAATCGCTAGTAACAAGAGAATTATGGGTAAATGGTTTGTTAGTAACAGATGTTTTTAAAATGTGTTATTTATAGGTCTCAGCTTGTATTTCTTACCAATATTCATTTAATTAATTGAAATAAGAAAATTAATATGTCCTCATTTTGTATATTCCTAGACATGCGACAAGTCAGTTTTACAAGAATTATCTGATGTTTTTGGCAAACGAACGGACTAATAAAATTATTTTAAATTGAAAAATCGTATATAAGTTTAAGTCAATTTATTTATTTACTGTTTTATTATGATTATTTAAGCCTGTCACACCGTTTAAACATATGGGCAAGTTCCTGAACTCATCGATGGAAACCAAAGAAAATTTGGTATTCAGTGCGTTCCTTTATTGAGCGATTAAATCAACGTTGGGTCAGCATTTCCATCGGCTTTTGGGGTCGATGGATCCACTATATATAATCATATTATAGATAACCTCATTGTAGTTATTCCTTGATTTACTGTTCTTATTTACATTAAGTTTACTTTCTATCTATATTTATTTCTATTTCGAAATTCAACAATTCGATAAGCAGTTACTTCCTTACATATGTTTCATGTCTTTTATAACATTTTAAGTGTGTTAACCTTTCCATGGAATCTATCAGATCGTTGCTAAACTTAGCATGAAGGCTGCCCTTCGCTGCTAGATTCATTTTATTGATGTAATCCATCGAAGGAATTAGCGCTGAGTTTAGGTATTTGCCTTGTCTCCTTCGAAAGTTTAATCGAGCTCATAGCTGGAATATTGGGATTTATTTACTTTCCTTAAAAGTTGGAGGCAATACTAACATACTGTCGTAATTTGTAACTTTTTCGGCTGCTTGATAACTATTAAATTAGGTCTTTCAATAACAATAGGTTTTTGAAAATTTACCTATTTTATTGGTGCATATTAGTTTAAGTAGTTCTTGAAGGTCAGAAAAAAAAAAAAAAAAATCGGGAAGGGAAACTCCCAAAAGAAGTTTATAAGGGAAAAACGAGAGCAAAGACTTTTCTTATAAAAAAAATAAATAATAATAACGAATTTTATCCTGTTATTATAATTATTATACTCATTATTTAATTATTATTATCATCATCATAAATAATTATTACACTTATATGCTTATTAAGGTCATGTTATTGAACCTAAAAATAAACTGTCTTTAAAACAAACATTAGGTCTTTTGGCTTTTGTCTTTAGTTAAGTTTGAGTTTAGATGTTGAGGTATGATGGGTTATGTCTTTAGTTTGATGGTTTTATACAGCCAATGGTTTTCACGAATGCAAAATGTTTGAAATATATGTTTTTTATATAATCAATACGTGCTTTTAGTTATTATTTATTGTGGTTTAAGTACATATCTACTGGTTATCTCCGGAACCTGATTTAGATTGCGTTTATGGTTATTACTACATTGTATCATTATGTTAAAATAAATGCATTTAGCCCTCCTCAATAGGTAAACCAAAAATAATTTTTAAAATCGGACAATTAGTTTCTGAGTTCGTTATATGTTAGTATTTTTTTTGTTCTTCCCTACCTCGCTTTTTATAGGCTATACGGGTTTTTTTCCGGATCAGGGGATGAGGGCGGGGAATTAAAAATGCCAGAGTTTAAAAAACCCACCGGGACGTGAATTCGTTGTTACTTTATTATCTTTAATTTTGTTGTCAGGGTTGCTGGGCAACGCGTGTTGTAGTGCACACGTATTAGCCCACTCTGCCAATATATTAGTATATATGTAATGAGAATAATGCTATTTTAAAAATTTATGGAATATACACACCAGCACTGAGGGAGTGACAAGATACTTTCTGCTCCTCTTGTCTCCCTCCCCCCCAATATTTTATAAACGTTACATTACAATAACCTTGGTTCCCCCCAATATATTCCAAGTTCCGATGGCTATGGTATAGAATGCGCTAAAACATTAAGGTGTAATAATTTCGTTAGGTGTAAATTAAATAGGTTGTACACTTTTAACTATAATCAAACTCTTTTACGCCTTCATTATTTGATTAATTTATTCAATTAACTTAAGATACCTACTTCTTTGTAATGGTCTCTCTGTGAGGGAAGCATGTGAAGTCCTATTTGAGCCTAGAAGCTGAGCCGAAATGAGCCACGCTAAGTTAATCCATCAAAAAAATTGTCAGTTGGTTCTGTTTGTTTAACACGATCGATAACTTTCCGCTGGACTAGTTGACGTTTACTTAGAGACTTTTACAAACATCCAACCAACTTTATCTAACGCCGACACATAAATTTCTTAATTTCTCATCAGCTCGGGGGGTAATTGAGTTTGACTTAGATAAGAAAGCTCACTGTCCAGTGAATTTTTATCATCAGAGGCAAACCTTATTTTACTTCCTCTGTTAAGTAACTGTGATAATAAGTAGAATTTTTATGTTTAGATGTCAATTTTTGGATCCTCGGAACTGAAAAAAATAATTAAAATAACGTTCAGTTATGTTCTGCTATTTCTAAGCACATCATTTTGCAAAATTAATTTTTATAAAAACATGAGGAATATGTAGGTTTTGGTTTAAAAATAAAAGAGCGCAGGACTTATATATGCAGTCTCTATTATACGATCCTGCGGTAATCAGAATTTTATAAAGACATCATTTTTTTTTTTTTTTTTTTTTTTAATATAACTATAGAATGAAATGTTGGTATCTAGGTGTATTTTCTTTTAGCTGAAAACTTCATTAGGCGAATTTTGCACTTTTTTTGTGTAGAATGTATTAGATTGAACCGTCTGATATCCGATGTGTAACGCTCGGGTAAAGTTAGCTGGAGTCCACTAATTGAAGTGTTTTTGCATATGGATTAAAATATCTCTAGAACTAAAAATCGGACCTGCATATTGTTAGCAAGGGAAGTGTTGTATCATTTCATCCTCTTTGTAATGAGCTATTATTCAAAATTGTATCTTAACGCGAAGCCATATTATAGAGGCGAAAGAGAATTATTTTTTTTTACTATTGGAGTCTACAACTGTATTAAGTGATAAGTACAACAAGTAAATATGAACTAAGTAACATGACATGTACAACATTAAGAAAAAATTGGTAGCACTCTAATTATATTTCTATATTAGAAGGTCCCGAGGCCATCTTCTTTTCAGACGCCTCGGAGGGTTATAGAAGAGGAAGCAAGGTTGGAAACAAGAGGGTTCTGATGGTTCAGAAGTTTATTACGGAAGGATAGGTATCTGGATTGAGCTAAATCGGAAACATATGGTACATTAAATTAAGGTCGTTATGGATGATTTTATTTATGAAAAAGTAGGGAGTATTGAGAATTTTGCGAAGGATTCGATACGAGAGGAATTTGATGGTTTAGTAGTGGCCCAAATCTCGATGGGAAAAAAGAGTGTCGAAAACCAAATGATAACGAGTTTTATTGAAGATATTAATTAAAATATCTCAGATACTAAAAATCGGACCTGCATACTGTTAGCGAATGAATTGTTCAGCATTTCATCCTCTTTATAACTAACTATTATTTCTAATTCCTATTTCATATCATTAATGTCGCCTTGTTGATGTTTTTTTTTTATGCCGCATTGAATAAAATTGTTAGATTAATGTATTTTTTAAATTCTTTTTTATCCGCACCTATCACTCAGGCTGCGACAATAAGCGGATATTATGTTTATTGATACAGTTGGCATGTTAGACATGAAAAAGTAATATAATTATGAAAACAATCAAGTTCTCGCATAAATTAAATAAAAATTAATTTGTTAACAATAATTTTCAGAAAATAACTTTCTCTACTGGTGATAGTATTATTATTTATTCATTTTTACAATGCATTTGTTATCCAATTGACATAAAAAATATATTCCTGTAAGGCCACGTTTATAAGTGGACCTCAAAATGTACTATCCATTATGTACTATCTCACCTCTTAATAAATTTCTAATTACCTCTTTCTTTTTAAATCAATATTTTACAATAACAAAAACTATTCATAAGGCATCAAAAAACAATAACAAACTAAGAAATCACACAGCTTTCACATACCACTTGGTCTTGAGTAGAAATTATTTTCTGTTCTATTCTACTATTTTATTGTAAGAAGTCGTTGAAGTGCATTTTGAAAGCAAATTACTTACTGATTTAATTTTTGTAAAACGATACTTAATCAGTTTTTAGAATGATCTGATGATAAATAATTATTTAAATCCATTATCATGGATAGCCAGGTGTTTTATACATCCGTAATTACTGCTAAAAATATTTTTAGCAACATACATTTCTTCATGTCTTCTCTCAAGTAATAGTAACAGTAGTGTAATGCTTTTCGGAAGTTTAACCTTATTTAGAGCAAGAGAAGAGGAGGCAACCAAGAATTATCAATGTATTTTTTTTTTCGTAGTTGTGATTAAATAACAGACTTTTTATTTTATCATAGTTTAAGTTTTAAAAATGTCTTTTTTAGTTGCTCAAGTAGCGGGAGTAGGGTTCCTCACGTTGTAATCTTGGTATATAAAGGCTGATCCCCTTTCTCCTATCATTATGATGGCAGCGTTGGTATTGCCACTGACCACTATCGGCATGATGGAGGCGTCTATGACCCTGAGGCCAGTTATGTTGTGGACTCGGAGGTGCGGGTCAACAACTGCCGTGGGGTCGCTGGAGGGGCCCATGCGGCAGGTTCCTCCCGCGTGGAAGACCGTGGTGGAGTAGTTGCTGACCAGGCAGGTCCAGAAGGCCTCGGAGAGGAACGGGAGGCTGTTGCATTGAGGGTACAGCGGCAGGAACAGGGTGCTGTTGTAGGCCTGGAGTGCTGGAGTCAGGGAAATGTTGTAAGCCATCTTGGTAGCCGTGACGAGCATCGGGTAGTCCGAAGCCACCGAGAAGTAACCAGGGTTGATGAGAGGGGCTTGGAACGGGTTCGAACTAGCCAGGGTGATGTTACCGACACTCTTCGGATGCAGAGTCAACACCACGATGTAGAACAGTTGTAATTCGTTGAAATGATTCGGTAGCGAGGTACACATCAACATCTCCACATCTGGATAGTCTATATTCGGATTCGCGTACGGAGAATTCACGAAGCCTATTGTTTCTGTTGCCAATGGATCAGATAATGGACTACTGACTTCCATAGCGTAGTCGAAAATAGCCATCCCACTTTCATATACCCTTCTTGTTATAGTAACACTCTGGTTCACCAAGAAAAATAAAGGTACTCCTGCATGATCTTGTAAATTCTGTCCAACTGGTAGGTTAGCGTACACTGGGATGTTCATACTTTTCAGCTGTTGTTCCGGACCGACTCCAGAGAGTAGAAGAAGTTGTGGAGAATTGGTGCTTCCAGCGCAAACGATAACTTCTTTTGATGCATATACTGTGTAGTAAGTGCCATTTCTCAAAAACTGGACACCGTAGGCTGTTTTGTTGACTTCTCCAATCAGGATCCTCGTGACCGTTGAATAATAAGAAACGATGAGGTTCGGCCTGTTCCTAGCCGGGCGAAGGAAGGCTTTGGCAGTGCTGCAGCGAGTGCCGTTCCGAATGGTGGCCTCGGGTATCATGAAGCCGGTCTGGTTGGCCGCGTTGAAGTCTATGTTCCGGTAGCCCATCTGTTCGCCGGCGGTGACGAAGGCGTTCGCCAGGGGCGTAAGGTAAGGGGAGATCCCGACAGTGAGGTATCCTCCCACGCCGTGGTACATCCGGTCCGCTCGGTATTTTGGAGTCTCGTTGTCTTCAGATAACCTTAAACAAAGTAGTAATTAATCAATCTTAACGATTTCTTTTTCATACAATAAAAAAAAAACTTTGAGTGTAGTGGTGTTATATTTATTTTAGTAAATTGATCAACTTTCATATAAACGATTAAAATAAAACCATTTATCAATGAAAGGTTTTGGCAGTAAAAAATAAATAAATATGTGAAGAAATAAACTGCAATTAATATATATTTAAAATTATCACATAAATAAACATATTTTCAATTACAAATTTTAATTAATTTGTTGATAAAATGAGATTTGTTTGTAGAACATCTTTCAGACATACAACGAAGTTTTTTTCAATGTGAGCGGTATTTATTTATTTATTTTTTTGTTATTACATTGAATGAATAATAAATTAAATATATAAAATGATGTTTAAGTGATAATTGAAAGCCAGTTAAAAAAAAAAATTCCAGAAACATCAATGCTTTAGCAATACATTTTTTTTCTTGATACTTCGCTAAATTTAGTAATGTATATGCGTTATAATTTTAAGGTATTGTGATTATATTTTGTTCCTTTAGTTCTAATAACTCACAAAAATAAATTTATTAATCAATGAAGAAAAAAAAATAATGTGGAGGAGCTTCAACCCGAAAACCCTCCTTCAGCTAAGTAAACATGGCTTCCTATCTACTGCCTCTTATTGGTTTTCCTGCCATTTTAATTATAGATATTGAAGATATAGATACCATTATTATTGTTATTAATATTTTAAATACACAGAACAGATTTACCTAAAATATGGTAATATTTCGTTGTAAGACCAGCCAGGGTTTCCCCTGGCAGCCCACATGTCGTAGTCCCTCCGGTTGCCTCGGACGTACATGTTGTCGGAGAGGACGCTCGTACCTCCTAAAACGCGACCTCGTGGCCAGTTGCAGACTCCATTCGTAGCTTGATATATTGAAAAAATAATGTACAGAAGTAAAAAAAGAAAAGTAAATTCATAATACATATATAAAATATATGGCGCGGTGCGTGCATCACACAATTTCACTTACTACCCTTTTAGCAGAAATAAGTATTCTCAGACAAAGGGAAGCGAAGGTAAAAATTATAGACTGTACGAAACATTATTTCAAACAATTAATTACCATATGTTTTTCATAGCCGTCGAATGGATTATATGTATATAAAAGTTAGTTATAATTGAATAAAAAAAAAATTAAAAAGAAATAGATGTATTGAGTGGCGTCGAATTTAGGAAATACATATACCATCCCTAACAAACACTATTATCGTATTATTATATATAATGTTAATAGTTAACAGGTATCTGACTGTTTTTGGAACAGGAATTGGAATAGGATGTTTTTGAATGTGGATTCGGAGGGAATTCCAGAAGTTGACATCGCGGGATACAAAGGAGTTTTGGAATGAGACAGATGTGTGAGAAGGGATGTATAAGTCAGAAGGTCGAGATCTTGAGCTGAGTTAATGAATTGAGAACTTAAATTGGATAAGAAGGACAATTATTGTTGATGATTTGATAAGAGAATGTGCCTAGGAAATATTGTCTTCTTAAGGAGGGAAAGAGCCACCCTAACTCAGTGTAGTGGTGGGTGATACGGGAGCGTCTCGGGGTCCCAATTACAAATCTTATAAAGCTATTCATCATTGACTTGATGATATACTGAGTTTAATCAAAATCGTTAGAGCCGTTTTTGAGAACACCTTAAAAATGTGTTTAATCGATTCTATAAAGAGCCACTTTCGGTTAGCCAATTTTGACGAAAAAGTTGCTGTAACATCCCAGGCATATAGAAACCTTAAATATGCAATTTCAGTTTCGTACGACTTTTAGTTTTTCAGCTAAGCAGTTCACATTCATACACACACAGACCATTTTGCGGTACTTGGTTATTTGGATTCAGGATCGGTGAACGAAGAGTGTGTATAGTCGTTAAAACATTTCAATGTGTCAAAAGTCCTATCAAAATAATGAACATAAACATGTATAATATATAAATATTTACCCCTGCATGCATTAGGCTGAGCTACCGTCGTGAAGTTCCAGTCATATTGCGTGCCGTAAAGATCTCTGGTGAGTAGAGGCACATCGGTCTGAGCTGTTTCATCTCCTCCGGCTTCCAATAAGAAGACTGTCCAGTTCGGATTTTCCGACAGCCGGCTGGCCACCACGCAACCTGCATGAGTAAATGTTTATTAGTCCTCGAGACCAGAGTCCAAGTTTCGAAACCATTATAATATTCATTCTCAGCATTCAATTTACTAATCTGTCAAATCAAAGTGGGGTATTTCAAAATTCCGCCGATTGAAAAGGCGTAAAATTAGAATGCAATTCTAAAATAGTTTCAGAGAAGCTATCTTTCAAAAAACGGGCAGGAACATAAATCACCATTTTTGAATTTCATTTTAGCAAATATGGTAGAATCTGTTATTGTTACAAATAGTTTATAATACTTTCGTTTTAGTAGGCACCACACATTTCCTAAAATAAATCCACAAAATGGTATTAGATCGTGATTAAAAAAAAATGAGAAAAAGTTTTTTAAAAGATGATTTCCCTGAAACTATTGAATAAAAAAAGCATTATCAGAGCTATTATGGACAACAAAGTAGTTCACAATAATTATTTTCGCAGGAATAGCTATTTCCTTGATATTTATAAAAATGGGCTACTGAGTGAAAATGTGGATTTTGAATTTTGTTTTCCGGTGCGATGCCCCCTCCGAAATTCGGCTGAGAATTTTTTGTTGGCATTTTAGGGATGTGTATAGTTTCATATTGGCTTGAAGAAAATTATGCAATTTTTAAGCAAGCATTTGAGTCCCCGCGTTTTGGAAAACTATTGAAAATTGAATGTTAAGGGTAGATATTAATAACAATGTATGACTAAATTATTTTTTCATTGTCCGTGGTACAGACCCCTTTTTATCAAATTAATAACACTCGTCTAAAACTTCGTGAGTGCCTCCACTTCATCGCAACCTACAACATACAATATTTACTTACGAAAATTTTCGAAAATGGTACTTCTTTAATTTGGAGATCGGTAAACAAGTCAATTTAATAAGATACTTAAAACTCATGAACAATCATTTGGATTCCACTTGAATCGTAAGAAAAACAAATGAATATTCATTAGTTATTGGTATCTCATTAAAATACATGTTTACTGATCCCAGATTGGAGATGCCTCGTTTTGAGTATTTTCCTAAATAGGTGTGTTTTTAGGTGTCGGTAAAATTAATCCACTAAAATATACCTGCCAACTACGAAATTTTTGACGGATTTAATAATTTGATAAAAAGTAATCTTTACCGCAGAGTAATAGTATTGAACTTAAAATTTTGAAAAAAAACTCCTACAACCCATATAGGTTTTTTTTTTTGGTTAAATACTTTGTTAGGAAGTACTGTTTCAAGAACAACGGTTGTGCAAGGAGGTGATCGGATCAAGATCATGCTCAACCGTCTAATGTTACCCTTAATTAATTATTTAATTAAGAATCCCTACCCTACAGAGGCTGGGTGTGACTCGGGAGGGTCTTCCAACCCCAGGGTCGATCTATGACTGACAGCCGTATTCGAAACCGTGACATTGAGCTTAGCAGGCCAGTGCTTTACTCACATGGGCTCTCATAAAAAAAAAATTGAAAAGTGATATAAATATAAATTATTTTGTTGATATGAATAAATATCATCATCGATTCTGGGTATGATTAAAGTAGCAACCTGCAGAGCCGGCTCCAACTATGATGAAGTTGTACGAGGGCTGGATCTGACTCTCCGGCACCAAGGTGACCCTGCCCCTGGGGTCGACCGTCGGGTAGTTGAGGTAGGTGACGGCGGCCACGAGGAGCATGATGAAGCCCCTGGTGTGGGGGGTGAGGATGGGGGCTCCCCCTAGAACGGGAGGGAACATGGGTGCGCCCTCCATCTCGAAGTTCAGGATCTGTCTGCGCTCGACCCTGCCATCCTCGACTGCTCGCTTCTATTTGTGAAAGAGATAAACCCCGAGGAGGTCCTTTATTTCCTAAAGTTAGACAACCCAGTTCCCTACTTTCTTAGCTATCTTCATGGACATGTGATATAGGGCGATTAGCTTAAATTTAAGAGGTTCCACAGTGATTTTTTAAAAATTTGTTTGTGCCTGCGACAATACATTTCAGAATGGTCTTTTCTGTTGACATTTTCGGGTCAAGGCACCACCAGTTGCCTGGAGTTCGTTAGTAGTGCAGCAGAAATATATTCACTTAGATTTAGAGATGTTCAGAAAGGGGTTGCATGGTGCAATTTGCTCCATCGACATGTTTGAGGGGATACATTTTGATGGGGTCATTCATTTTTTTCGATGTAATCATATTTTTGTTGGGATTAAATTTGATTCAATTTTCAAACTAGGGAACAAAAGGCTACCAGACCACTGCTAGTGTAATTGTAAATCTACATTTTTTCTAATTATGTTTTCGCTACTCCAGAGGAGTGAAATATAATACCCTTTCTTGGAAAGGAGACATATGCCATCGACCTTAAAAAGGATATGCATCCCTGGTTTGATGAATATTCTGTTGTATGCTTCCCATCAAATTACTTCTTGTCAAGGAAAAGAAATGAATAGAAACAAATCTATGGATGTCAGTACATATTCTTCCCTTGGGCAAACTTGTCTAAGTATTTTATTTCTTTTTTGCTTGTTAGGAAAATAGCTGTTGGCAATATTGGCGAATCACGGTAGGTAGGAAGAGGAAAAGGTTGTAGTTATTGTGGGAATAATAACTTTTAATTGTGATGTTACCAGATACATAGGGTTACAGTTGATATATACGTGATATAAGTTGCGTTAGTGTGCTGCATTACTCCCCAAGGATGATCTTAAACATTTATTAAGATGTCGATGTTATTTTCAGAAAGCATATCTCTGATCTGAAAACATAGGAATGAACCATTATATTAAAGAAATCGAAAAAGAAGAAAGAAGTTGAAATCGATTCGCGATGGCGCAATCCCAAAATCGATATTATTTTAAACAAAAATTACGCTTCTAGAAATAGAATTATGAACCTTAATATTTAGGATAATTGATAAACTTTTATATTTATATTAAAATAATTAAATTTTAACATTTACTTTCATTTTTTTTATTTTTAAATACAAAAATCAGATCATGACTTTCAATTTTTGACAACAAAAAAAGTTTTTTTTTTTTCTTATGCCATAGTTATTGGTCATTCAACCATCCGACATCTTGCTGTATAAGGAACAACAAAAAAAGTAGTCAATGGCTGATTTTTTTTTTTACTGAATCACTTAAGGAAGAGGAAATTAATTGTAATTTCATTTACTCTTATAATCGGTTGTTTCATTTAGCAACTTTGCTTCATAAGACTTCATATTGCATCATAGAAGATGAGTAAAATTTACTTCTGCTAACATCGATTACTTTGATGATAACATTCTTGTAAACAATCGAGTCTTTAATGATTATTATTAAACAATTAAAATCAATGATTATTATTTATACAAAAAAAAAAACAACTAAGTGTGGTGCAATTTCTTGTTAAAATAATTGTGAAACTTTAAAAGATAGTTGCTAATAAATATTGTAAAGTAATGAAAAGAATTGCAGTCAAGGTACTTGATAACAAGTCTTATTTATTAGCTGGTTATCTCTTACGCAGGTTTCTGTGGAGCTTCGTTACTCATTATTTCTGTTTCAGTGTAAAAAAAAAAATAAAATAAAAAAATAAAAAAAAGGCAATAATATCATTTTTACTTAATTGCAAAAAAGAGATATTATGATTTCAGAATATTTTACTAGACTATTATTTTTGAATTTAGTAAAATTCAGATACATTGTATCGGAATTTTACTTACTTCATGAAGTAATATGTTCCTTTTTTTATAACTGTTATTATGTATAAATAATATTACATCATGATAGATAAGAATAAAGTGATAAAGGTTGAAGCTAAATAAAAATTTTACATTCTGGTTACTGTTTGAAGCAGCTTAATAATCCCTCTAAATTTTTATGAAAAAACAAATTATTGGCTAAAGAAAATAAATATTAGAAAAAAACGAAGAGTTAATTTTTCGTTTTTTATATTAGTTTCGTTCACTTTCAAAGTCATACTTAATGAATTATTTATTTATGAAATTTACAACTGTATAAAACAAGTATACATCTAGAAAATGTGTTAAATAATAATACATTGATTACTTAATGAACTGAAAATAATTTAATTCATAACAATAATTAACACACACTAACAATAACTAAAAATATTTATACGTATGTAAGTGCATTAAAATCGTTAATTGTGTCCATTAATCACAACTTAAGGTTACTAATTAGTTTGAATTGTTTTATCAATATAAGTTATATCAACTTTTTTTGGTACAATGCTTTTCTTTTCAGTTTATTTTGGTACCAATATATTCTTTCGAAGTTTACTTAAGGGAACCCATTAAGAACAATAATCCTGTAATTGTTTAATTCCAAGAAGTCTTTTTTAAAATTAATATTAGTTTTTATCCTCTGGGTACCATTTTTTTCTATATTTATTAAATATAAGACAAAATAAAAAAAAAACTTAAATATCAGTTTCAAGATGATGCAATCATTATTTGGCGACTTCTCATCTCCTCTTCAGCAGTTATTAGAAATCAGCTCTTCAAGAATTGCATTGCTAATCAAGAGTAAATAAAATATTATTTTTTAAATAATATACATATACTAAAACATCATCATACGTATACACACATACAAATTTTATCGTATACATATATGAAAATTAAATGCCTAGTGTTACTGTAAGACTTTTGTATTCCACAAACCAGTCTCCTTTCCTGACTGATGATTTCGGGCAGTAAAAGTATATATATTATTCTTAGTAATGTATATATTGTAAATTATAAATAAATGATGGATTGATTCATATCTATACATATTATCTTATTTCACTCAACATGTGATAAAAATGAAATTTAGAAAATAAATGTTTCAATTTTTCTATCTAGTTAATCAGCATTTTAATTTTCATCTATTATCTCCGAACGAATTTTTAAAATAGGTCATTCCTATCTCTTTTTCAATTTTATTCAATAAGTTTTCAACATTGTTCCACGATTTTTGTTATTTCCTTTTATGTAAGATATCGGCTATTGTCTAACCAGATAACTTGATGAATAGGCTAGACTTTCTTTTATTTTATTTTTCTGTGTATTTTCTTAAAGACGAGATACACTTCTGGCCCCTGGTATGTTTTCAGGCACGAGCTTTGGCATTTCCAGAAATTGATTAATAACTATTCGATGTTTATGGCGAACGCGCTAGGGTCAATCGATTTTCACTATCGATGAAAAACTATAGATAGTTCAGTAACTTTCCGTTAGGCGTATTTCATAACAATATTTTAGAAGCATTCTTGAAGTTTTATGTTGAAACTTTAAAAAAATATATGAAATAAACAATTTAAAGTATATCAACAGGAAAATAGATTTATATGAAAAAATAAATTAGGTATATTTTCATCGTTGTCAAAATTCAAACAAGAATTGCCTACAATACATAGTATTGTTTTGATTATTTCTTAAGAAAAAGAAAGGGAAGAGAAATGCGCATGTGCTTTGATTTTCAAGATTATGCTTTTCTAAATTTAATTTTTATAAATAAATAGGAGAGGTAAAGGTAAATTTTTTTTCACGTCGTAACAACTGACTACATGGAAAATATTTCTAAGAAAATAATCTGAGATTATTCTTTTTATCTTGAAGGCTTGTTGTTGTGTTCGATTTTAGTTTAAATTGTATATATTGATAGAAATAGTTTTAATTACATGCCTTCATAATTCTGTCCATTTATTTTGTTAATGTGAAGTTTCGGAACAGTTTTCCATCAGCGAAATATTTTTTTTATTTGATATATCCCTACCTTGCCATTTTTGGTATGCGGAGAAGGCGGGGGCGTTTTATATGAAAAACCAAACCTATTCTAACGAGAGTGGAAAGGTCGAGATTCATTCCGTGGGTCCAACACAAAATAAAAGTCAGCTGCCCGGACCGGACTCGAACCGGGACGAACATCTGCGAAACATGTTCATTTGTATATACAATACAAAATTATCATGCTTTGCTGCGACAGTAAGTTACAATTTACTTAATAAGTGGTTAGCTTGTCCCACTAGAAAATATCCCTCCTATTTAATCGCTGATACAGAACCCTTTTTATCAAATTATTAACATCCGCCTGAGACTTCGTGAACAGCTCATCTCATCGTAACCTACAAATATTTTATTTACGAAAATTCTAAAAATCTATTTAATCTATCGAAAATCTATTTTTTATTAGGTACTAAAAACTCGCAAATACGTATTGGCTTTCCTCTTGGATCATAAGATAATTTGATCCCAAAATCTATAAAATAATGTGGCCTACAAAAATATTGGGCCGTTCGGCCTATATAATCTCGTTATTTTGACATTTTGGGAGTGTAGTTCTCGCCAAACTGTTCAATATTTTTGAAGGCCACCTTTTTTTCTCGATTTTATGCTCAAATTATCTTACGATCCAAGTGGAAAGCAAATGATTATTAACGAGTTTTTATTACCTAATTAAATATAGAAAGTTTGTTGATCTCCAGATTAAAATCGCCCCTATTCATGAAGTTTCAGGATGTTAATAATTTGATAAAAAGGGGTCTGTACCACGGATTATGATCAATTAGACGCTAAACTTATGCTAATCCATTATTGTACTCGCTCAAGAAATATTTGAACTGAAGCACCCACTCTCCTAAAACGGTAAAATATAACTGTACCTAATGAAAAACAAATATATATACAAATTGTTTGTGCAATTACATTTAGTAAAACTTCAAGAATCACTTAAACACCGTTTGTTTCATATAGGTAATTAGTTTCTTTCTTTTTCGGTTTAAAGTTTTCCGGCCAAAGAACCTCCCCCCCCCCAAAAAAAAAAAAAAAAAAAATTAAATCATGGATCCGCTAGTGGTAGTGTAGATTAGTTCTCCAAAAAAATTTCAATCGTTGTAATGTGAATATTTGACTCTTATAAATAAGTTCGTCGATCTAGGCATGATCCTATCTATGTTGGATACCTGCGTAGATTAATACACACTTCTTTGCGCTTCGTTCATTATTTACTAAGGAGAAATAACATTTTTTGAAAATTAAGATATTATATTAAGTTAGTAACAAAATCACAATTATAAAAAAAAAAATCATTTGAAATATCTTCCTTTATTTAAAACATTTCTTACTGCCTGAACGCTTATTTTATTATCTTTATTCAAGTTGATTAGATTATCTAAGAGATAATGCAAATTTTGTATGTTTATTTTTCGTCAGAATCTTTTATTTAAGATAGTGTTTCTAATGTACTAAACAAGCATCCATTTTCTATTTACTTATCCAAAAATGAAATTGATTAAATATCGTTTGCCGTCTTTTTGATAAAGATTTATCATGTTGAAGAACTCTGAAAGAGACATATGTACATTACGCGCTACTCAATATCGCGTTTTGCTATCGTGACAATTTTAATAAACTGATATGTTAGATAAAGAGTTGTGGAGAGTAGGTAGATTCCCCAGTATGAAGATGCCTTGAGTTTCAACATCTTTAACAGTGGTACCATCCACGCTTTTATAAATGGGATAATGACACGTTACAAACTCGGTAAATATCTTAAATTACAGTAACTTAATACCATTATATGTGCCTTTTAAATATTTAATGTCAGCTATTGACTAAGTGATAAGCAATGTGGAAAGATACAAACACACACGCAAATATATAATTTTTAATAAAGACTAAAATTTTGATCCCTTTAAATACCTTCATCTCAAGATATTACATTCTTTAGCAATATAATCAATTCACAAAATTAAATTTTGTCCTAAAACAAATCTTCTCTATGTTTTACAATCTCTCTCTGCAGAACCAATTAAAAATAACCTACAAGAAGAAATGTTCTATTTGACATATACATATATATTTTTTTTATTTCTATAACAATAGGAAAAGTTTTTCTACATTTAAATTCCATTCAATACTCATATTAAAATTTTCAAAGTTTGATTTTTTGAGCAGTTAGGATATTTGCTTGTGATATTTGCTTTGTATTTATCTTCAAAGATAACACCCAACTATGAAAGTGTTCACAACATAATTAAATTATTAATAATTCTAGTTTGGTTGTTTACATCTTTTTTTGGATGGAAAAATTATGTGACCTAACAAAAATAATCATTAAAAAAAGTAATACAGATAATTTTGAAACAGGGACAAATGGTTGTCCTTGAACTACTAATTACAAATCTTATCTGATTAACTTATTATGTATTTGATAAATTACTTTCATTATATTATCTATAATATCCATAACTAAGAGAGTTAATTTTGGAAACTTCTTTCTAAAAAAGAAAAAGAAATTTAATTTCTTTTCTTTTTTTTTTACAGTTTATTGGTGAGGGAAATGGGGAAGTTACTACAATTTTGTATTTGATTTGCGTTTTACCTTTCTGATTTAAAAAACAAACAATAAAATTAAATCTTGAAACTTGGAGAGCTTTATATATACATAAGTTATTATATTAAAAGTAACTTTTTTTATTGATCAAATCTTTAATGGTGTTTTATTTTTTTTAATGGTGTTCTTATGAGAGTGAGGTGATTAGTAAAGTCTCTAACCAGCTTCACTGATCTATTGGTTTTGGCAAAATATCTTATATAAATTTTGTAGCATTCAGATAAATGGCCACAGATTAGTGTCATTAAACATACATTAATTTAAAAGTAATTACTCATTAATTTAGATATTAGATTCTAAAAAGTAGAATTACAAGAACTAGTTTTCTTCAGTAATCATGCTTTTGCTCCACATTTTTTGATAAATGAAATATTGAATGCACTTCATGAGAATGGTCAAATATTCACCTCCCGACAATGCTATTTAGTTTAAATTATCATTTATTTGGTTTCAAAATATTTTCAATATCCAGATGAATGACGTTTTATAATTGATTAGTACTCTAAGGCAGTGCCATCCTTAGACATTAGGCATCCCTACCCCATCTCTCCTCCTCTAAAAAATTCAATTTATTTCTCAAGCTGTTGTATTTTTTTAATATTTAAATTTTGTTTCATTCAACATTTCTCTAATACAATTGCTTTATTGATAGGCTAACATTTATTGCTTGGTATTTTTTTAATTTCTAACAAGTGGCCCCGGTCAGCGCAGCAAACGGATCCCCCTCCAGGTCGGCGCACCAGTTGCCCCACCCTAAGCACTGCTCTTAGGGATGAGGATGGACAAATAAAAACACAGTCAGGTAGACAAAAAGCTCCCCAAAACTGACAACAAATTAAACATTTATTAACTCAACAACATGAATGATTGACATTCATTAAAAATACTTACTGCTTTATAGCATCTGACATCTGGAGCCCTGCAAACTGTATTCTGGATGGATAATGTGCACTTGACATGATTATAAAAGTCAGTATAAGAACCACCAATTTTACTAGACAAAGTTTCCCAGTCCTCTTAGTTTCAGAAGGAAATATAGAGTTTCAGGAGAATGACTTAAAACTATAGATGGTGATTTTTTTTTTTTCTTCTTTCCACAGCTTAACGATTTGTGTTTTTATTTGTACTACCATTTTTGGTAGCTGTAAGTTTAGAAGTAGATAAATAAATATAAAATAATTTCTATCTGAAGATAGCCGGACGAATGGAAATTTATTCCTTAATTTGAATTTTGATCATGATGGATTAAAGCTATTTTCCTACCTTGAACATATTACAATAAACAAGGCTAACTCCTATTTTTGGTTTTCAATGTTACTTATTTTTTATTATTATATACAGTATACTTATTATATATAGTATACGAATATTATATAAGTGGTAATACGAAAAAGTAAGCATTTATATGCTGTGGAATGAAATTATGAATTGGTAAATCGTTGACGGACTATTTTATTCAATACTATTAAAATCTTTCAAAATATCTAGTTAAAAATACTTATGTTTTTCTTGTCACACAGATAGATGGGGGTACGAGCAGTTCAATGATGGAACATCGCAATCATTGGATACAGGAGAGTACAAAGTGAAATGTACTGGCTTTCAATTCAGCCCATTGAGGTATTACGCTTTACATATTCTTTCTATTATTATGTTTGGTATACCTTACCTCATCCTCAGCTGGTACCCCCAATACATGGCAAAATTCGGATATAAAAGATGTCAGTTGAAAGTTGCCGATGCAGTGATAATTAAGGTAAATAATATTTATCTCAATTTAATGATTTTTTGAACAAATGTTAGTTTAATTTTAATATCAAACATATTTTCAGAACAAAAAAGGTGTAATTAAATTTTGTAAAGTTCTCAAAGACCCTGTTATACATTTCGACTACCAACTTCATCGATACATTTGGAATGAAGAAAAACATGCGTTTGTGTTGCTACTAGGAGTTTCTGGAACATTGATTGAATTAATTGAAACATCAGATGGAATTTCAAATAATTTGAGAAACTTAAGGTAAGATTTAAACTCGAATATTGATTATTTAAAAAAAAAAATTAAAAATACCTTTTGTTATTATTTGCCCAATTAGTTCATGTGTTAATGATAAGCACTCAATGTTTTTTAATTGTATAAATATTCTTTTTGAATTTAATCAATATATAACATACCTAAATTAAACAGTATCCCTAAAAAACTTGAATGTTATACTTAATTGCTTTAAGGGGATTCGAAAAAGTTGCACAAACTATGAATATTATTAGTACTAAACGTCTTGAGAATAATTTTAATGATAAAAATGTTTTGTTAGTTTATGCTACTTTTAAAGTTCAGAATAAACTATAAACTAAAAGAATTCATATTGCTGTTTCTATTTAGATTAAAAAAATATTATCCAAATCTCTTCAAATTATTCATTAACTTTTTTTTTTAAGGAATCTGTAGCAATGTTTAAGATTAACTTAATTTTATATTTATCGGTTGTAAAACGTTTTTATGGTTGGAAATTTAATACATGAAAATTAAGAAAAAAATTAATTTTGAGTTTATTGAGCTTATTGTCACTATTTAATTTAAAATCATTGTCAAGATTTATACATAATGAATGATATAAATAACTATATTTATACATAATGAATGATATAAAAAAATGTATTTCATTATTTATTATTAAAATATGATAATGAGAAAAATACTTTTATAAGTATAACTAGAAATAAGGCCTTTAAAGTCTCAATAAATAGAATCCCTGAAGAGGTGAAAATACTAATAAATTCAAAATAAAGTATTTTATTTATTGATACTATAAAGGCCTCATTTCTGCTGATTATTTATTACTTTATATTTATTATTTTATTTTGTTAACATAATTTTGCACTTTGATTATTTCAAATTTTGAGGATTATTCTTATATTTCATTGCATTATAATTATGTAAATATATTACAATGCTTTTTAGTTTTATTTTAATTATGAATAATTGAAAGAATTTTCATTTCTGTGAATAATTTAAGATGATTATAAATAACTATGTATGAATATTTATTTTTTCAGACTTAATATTTATGGAAAAAACTCAATAAATATTCGCCTTAAATCAACTTTTAAAATCTTAGTAAATGAAATACTAAACCCATTCTATGTTTTTGAAATTTTAAGTATAATATTGTGGATATTTGATGAATACTATGAATATGCAATATGTGTTGTAATTCTATCAGGAATATCAATTATTACATCTCTATATCAAACCAGAAAGGTAATACTCACATATTTATTTAAACTATGTTTATACATTAGTATATCGATAATAATGTTCAGCAAAACCAGAGAATGCATGCCAATATCATATAATTATCATTTATTCAGATTCATAATTATCATTAAGATTACTTACTGTAAAAAAAATACCCTCTCCAAAACTAAGTATAGAATCCTCTACTGTTTGGGTCAAATATTAATTATATTATTCATTATTAAAAAGTCGGAGATTTTGTTCTTCAATGAAACAAATATATTACTCAATAAGCAAAAAAAAAATCAATGACTTGCTGTAGTTCAGTGAATTTTTTCAACTATTTCTTTTTTAAAGCAGCTCTTATAATATCTTATAAAAGAATAAAAAATATTATAAAAGGCCTTTTATTCCTTTCTTCAACATACTTAGACAGTTACTTTGAAATAAATATAACATTACAATACATTTTACAATGATGTGTTCTGGAATGTAATTATTATTAATTTATTTTATTGTTAATTTCAGCAAAATCGAATGGTGAAGAATATGGTGGATACAAAAAATAAGCGTTATGTAACAGTTTACGATGAAGTTGGAGGTGAGTATATAACATTAAATTTTATCAAAAATGTAATTAACCTGATACACAATACAACATGCATGTTTTGAAAAATATTTTATTTTATTTTTATGTAACGTTTACATTTCAACTATACTGACACAAAAAGAGTGGCCTTTCTAATTATATTTTTGTTTTTTCATCTACTAATAATAATGAATCAAAAAACTAAAATTATACCGATGTATAAATAAACATTTTCTGTTTCCAGAGCATTTCTTGATCTTGTTTTTATTAGAACTCACATTTAAAGTGATATTGCCCTAACAAGGTTTTAAATAAATTCCTGGAGGGTATTTTAATATTTTTTTTTATTATTAATTACTTATTCGACAATTCTTAATGCTTAAAATTATTTTGGTATAGTTTGGTTTTGGTTTACTTGTCTTCACAATATTCCATGAATTCCCAATGGAGTTTAGATTTTGATTACGTAATAGCCATTTTGATTCAGTATGTGTCCACTTCTGCAAGGAGCGCACGAAGTGCTCCTAGTCTATCCTTTTGTGTGCTTACAAGCTGCTCTCTAACATTCTTTTTGAGAGGATCCTCCCGTATTCTGAAAAGGAACTGGGGAAATATCAGGCTGGATTTCGACGAGGACGCTCAACCACTGATCAACTGTTCTCTCTCAGGATGATCCTAGAAAAGACTATGGAGCGTAAGGTAGTCACCCACCATTTATTTCTGGACTTTAAAGCAGCATACGACAGCGTTGATAGAACACAACTATACTGTGCCTTGGAGGAGCTAAGTATCCCTCAGAAGCTTATACGCTTAATCAAGATGACTATGGACAGCTAGAAATGTAGAATACGAGTCGGTTCTGATGACTCCGAAGAGTTTAAAGTGAGCAGTGGGGTTCGGCAAGGGGATGCCCTCGCCTGTCTATTATTCAACTTGGCAAAGGAGAAAGCTGTAAGAGATTCCGGTATTCAGACCAGCGATATAATCTTCAATCGTCTGACACAGCTTCTTGGTTTTGCTGATGATTTTGACATAATAGGACGGTCTGAACGGGCTCTCAGAGAAGCGTTTATAGCCCTTGAAGCAGCTGCAAGACGACTTGGTGTAGAAGTCAACAAGAGGAAAACTAAGTTTATGAGAGTTGGTGGTGAGGTGGATCTGAACTTTCCATTTGAGGTAGGCTTTTATAAGTTTGAGGGAGTAAAAAGTTTTATATACCTTGGGTCTGAAGTAAATAGCAAAAATGACATGGCTCAAGAGATACAGAGAAGGATCATGGCTACCAATAGATGTGTCTTTGGACTTGGCCGACACTTAAGAAGTAGGTATCCCTCAAAGAAGACCAAGCTGATTCTATACAAGACCCTTGTAAGGCCTGTTTTGACATATGGCTCAGAGGCTTGGACGATGACAAAAAGTGATGAGATGAAGCCGAGTGTGTTCGAGCGAGGAGTCCTCAGAAGGATTTATGGTCCAGTAAAGCTGCAACAGAAGACAGAGCCAACTGGCGGAGGTACTTGGAGGTGGCCCAGTCTCGGTAACGGGATGTCGTGCCACTATGTATTTATGTAATAGCCATTTTGAGCTTGGATAGAAATATTTTCCAAACATAAGATGATGGCCACTTTTTTTTCTCTCCTCAGCTTATATTTACTCTAAACTTTTTTATGAATATAATTAATTATAATTGAGATAAATACATTGAATAAATATTTTTATCAATAAGTATAACAAATATTTTCAGGGTATGTGAACTATTAGATTTGGAAAACAAATCACTAAAAAATTATATTGAAAAATAAAAAATACAATTTGAAAAGTTTAACAAAACATTAACATGGTTTGCTATTGTGTAGGAAGTGATGTGATCGATTCTTGTGACTTGGTGCCCGGAGATCTCATTGAAATTCCAACTGAAGGTTGTGTTATGACTTGCGATGCACTTTTACTTACGGGAACATGCATCATAAATGAATGTGTGCTAACAGGTATGCTAGTTGAATAAACTTACTGTTTATAAATACACATGTTATTATTAAATAATTTTAGAAGTTTATGATATATTTATGTTTAAAATCTAGAGTTATTTATTCATCATTCATTCAATTTTTCAAGGTAATACTTTCTTATTATAAAATTAATGATTTTTTATGCAGGAGAGAGCACCCCAGTAACTAAAGTGCCAGCTAATTATGTAAATGAAGAATATGATCCGATTTCGCTCCATGCCAGACATACTTTATATTGTGGAACACATGTTATTCAAACGAGGTATCAAACTTACTTATCCTTCTTTTTAAATTAGTATTTTACTTTACAAAATATTGAAAGGTGAATAAATAATTATGTAAAGATAAACAATCTGCAGATTTTCTAACATAATGTTGGTTTTTGAAATGAAGTTCATTGATTGACAATATTAAATTTCCTAAAATAGTCTTATCCATTAGAGAGCCCTTTGTAACTTTTTCAAAATTAAAGTTTTCCCGTATTATGGTGTGTTATTCTCTCTCCTAAACCCAGATTATAATTACAATCTTCACAATAATATTTTTATAGTGTAGGCACTTGTTTATTATAATATATTTTCCTCTTTTCTATTTTTAAAAAATATATCTACATAATAAACATTGTTTATAATTATTATTTATATACTTTGATTCCCATAAGAGAACTTAAATTTTTCTTTTTAAATAAGAAAATAAACAAAGCAAAAATGTAGAAACCTATTGACTGAACATGCGCCAAACTGTGACACACTCACATTGGGTTAGGCACCCCTACCTTGTGTGTTAAAGCATCACCGAGAGATTCTTCAGTCAGAAGCAGGCTTTTGTGTTGAATCTCTTGTATGTGAGTTGCGATATATTAGATGGTGAGGCAATGGTATAACTCTTAACCTTCTCACTCAGGCAAGAATGGGTTGGTAAACTGTAAATAACCTGCCCTTTTACCCTAGTCAAAGTTGCATGTAGATCATACATATACTCTACTACTTAACCACAACTTTAACTTAACCCATTAGTCAAAAAAATAGAAATTCCTACATCATAAGAAGCCATACAAATGTATAACTCAACTTTTATTTATGTTAGATGTATATGTTGGTACTGGTAATAATACTGGTGGGAAACTGGGTAGGTAATTGGGCCTTGTGTTCCTTTTTGTCAATCCCTGATGCCTACCCATAGGTTGCCATAACCTACTAATCAAAGTGGCATTATCAAGATTCATTTCTCAGGAGCTCAGAGAAATATTTTTTAACAGACCCAAGATGGAATTGAGTCATCAAGGTTCAGAATTAGACAATCTGGGACCCTCCCCTGAAAATGCTCCAGTACCAAGTCCTCCATGCATGTGTATTACAAGTGTAAATTGTATATAAGTACAAGGTTTCAAGCTCTGGTTTATTTAATCTCAGGAGTAATAATAAATATTATGAATATTATATTTAGAGTTAATGAGGAAGAAAAAAAAGATAAAAAATATTATATTTAATGTTTTAAATAAATTAAATGTTAATGTGTGTTTTTTCAGATATTACCATCATGATAAAGTCACAGCTCTGGTAGTAAGAACTGGTAGTATGACTGCTAAGGGACAGCTCGTCAGATCAATATTGTTTCCAAAAGAATTCGGTTTTGATTTTTATCGAGATGCTATAAGATTCATTTTCATTATGTTTGGAGTATCACTTTTTGGCACACTTTATTCAATTTATCTATATCTAGAACGTGGTGTAAGTTTTATATATCTTCTCAATTTATTTTTGAAAATTGTCAGTCTCAGTTAATTTATTCCAGTGTTATTTAAACAGGCTGGATTAGAAACTATTTTACTGCGAAGTCTGGATATTGTAACAATTGTTGTTCCTCCTACTTTACCTGCTGCAATGACCGTTGGAACCATCTATGCTCAGCGTAGACTTAAAAAGAAAGGTATTTTTTGCACCTCACCTCCCAGGATAAATGTAGCTGGAAAAGTAAAACTAGTTTGCTTTGATAAGGTTTGTGATTGTTTTTATAACTCTGAGATCATATATGAAAATTTGTCTATCCTTTATCTAGCATTAAAAACATAAATTAATTTAAAATATTTGTATTACATTTTTAATCTTTTAGTAAAAGAGAAGACACTTTAGTTTTTTAATTGTCATGTTTATCAGACAGGTACTTTGACTGAAGAAGGATTGAATGTTTGGGGTGTCCTCATGTCGAATGGAAACGGCCTTGAAGATTTAGTAGAAAATCCTACAACGCTGCCTATAATGACACCATTCTTGCATGCCATGGCCTGCTGTCATTCACTAACGAAAATAAATGGTTTACTTTGTGGAGATCCACTTGATCTCAGTATGTTTGAATCAACAGGATGGGTGAGTCGTGAATATTTTATTTTTTCTCTTTAGCAATATTAAACTATATTAGTGATTTCCATTTGAAATTGTTTAATTACAAAATAATTTGATATATAATTATTTAATTTTTTTGTACTGCAATTAATTGGTAATTTTTTCTAGCAAAAAAATATGTTTCCTTTATTAAAAATATCATATCTCAATATTTTGAAAATTGTATATATTTTAAAAGGTTTTTGGTCTCTCCATAAAAGTTGGGGTTTGACAGGTACACAGATCGCTCTGATATCAATGATATGAATAAATTAGATCTTCTTTAATTTATTTTAAACATAGAACTTAGTGAAATTCTGTGGAACTCAATCCAAATGATTTATATTTGCTTACCGATCAAGCTAAAATACTTTATATGTTTACAAATGAAATTAATAAAGATACTTTATTATGACTATAATAAAGCCTATATGGGCTTACGGAATTGAGCTTTGATGCTCCACCAAACCATCGAATTCCTAATGTACCCAATCCTTTCAAGCCAAAATCCTTAGTTCTCTATATTTTGTCTCAAATAAAATCATTCGTAAAGACTTTAATGTTCCGTATGTCACTGCTTCAGTCCAGATGCCTATCCTTTCATGATAAACGACAGATCTATCCGAACCCACTTTTGTCCAGCCTTGCTTCCTCCTCAAATCCTGATAATCCCCCTAGGAATCCGAAAAGAAGATGGCAGCGGGATCTTCATACTTAGAACTATACTTAGTAAAAGATACCTATTAATTACTAACTTATTTTAATATGTATAATTTTTTTTTAATAGGAATTGGAAGAACCTGGAGTTGAGATAAACAGATTTGATCAACTTGCACCTACTGTGGTCAAGCCAAAGAAATGGCAATTCATAAATGTGAGTATAATAGGTTGTGAAGAGATTTTAAATTGACAACAATTTAATAAAATTTTCTCTTATCAAAACATTATATTATGAATAATTGATATACTATACGTAAGGCATATTATTTAGAGTCGTAAAGGAAGGCTACTGTTAGAAAATATATTTGAAGGGATTGACTGTAGAAGATAGTCCATCGAATATTTATGAAATAACATTTGAAGATGGTGAGGAGCACTAGCGGATCCAGGATTTAATTTTGGGAGGGGCTTCAGCCCGGAAGCTTTTTTTTTCATAAAAATAACTACATTTACTTTGGAAAAACAGAAAGAAACTAACTACCTATATGAAATGGTGTTTAAGTGATTACTTAAGTCCTTTTAAATGTAATTAAACCAACAATAATACTTTAAGAGGTATTTTTTAATTTTTTTTTCCATTAAAACATGATTATATTTTACCATTTTGGGGGGGCTTCAGCCCTAAAGCCTCCCCCCCTCCGTAGATCCACCCATGGTGAGGAGTATTGGTTAGAAAAATAAAGCAAATTTTACCCAAATCGTAAACTCTAGCACTGTTTTTGATTATTATATTAATTATGTGTTATCAATAAACTTTTTTGTTTTAGGCGATACATCAACTAAATGGTTCTGGCAGTCATATAGACCAGGGAGATATGAAAATACCTCTTGAAATAGGTATCCTAAAGCAGTTTCCATTCTCTGCCAATGCCCAATGTATGTCAGTCATTACCAGAACTCTAGGATCTAGACAAATGACACTGTATACAAAAGGAGCTCCTGAAAAAATTCTTCAAATGTGTATTCAAGCCTCAAGTAATATATCTTTTTATATAAAAAACGTTATCTTTATCAACACATTTTATAAAAGCATTATTTTATTTAAAAATGTATATATTAATAATTTAATTATGTAGTTGCAAATTTTAATAATCAAAGTTAAAAAAATAAATTCTAATCTATTTAATTACTGACTTATTGCATTCACTGAAATTGTATAAAAGCACCTTAAAATAACATGTAAAAAAATATTGTTTACATTACGATGACTAGATAGAACTTAATTTACTTCTCTTTTTTTTTTCAGTTCCAGAAAACATTTCAATGACTCTGTCATATTATACATCTTCTGGACACCGTGTAATTGCTATTGCTTATAAGCAACTGCCAAGAAAATTCACTTGGTTGCAAGCTCAAAAAGCAGAAAGGGAAAATGTGAGTGTTTTATAAATTTAAGTCTGGTTAAATAATCAACCAGACATGAGAATACTATACTTTTATTATTTGTTTCTTTATTTTGAATCATTTGCACTGCCAATATGAAAGACCAAATAATGAGGTTACTTACATCTAAAATATTCTATTAAGAAAATCATTATACTATCACATTTTAAAACTATTGTGAAATTAAAAGGATATTACATTTTGTTTTTCATAATTTTTAGGTTGAAAATAGTCTCACTTTTCTTGGATTATTGTTAATGCAGAATACACTTAAACCACAGTCCGCGCCTGTCATAAAGCAGTTACAACATGCTCGCATCAAATGCTTGATGTTAACGGGTAAATAATTTTTTGTATTGGTAATATTTAAATATTGATATTTTTTATTCTTAAAAAATAAAAGCAGGTATACAGTTAAAATATTTTTCTCCAATAAATTTTAGTTTGAGATGAAATTAGATTCATAATAAAATGTTTAGGCTATATTTGTTTCTCCATTTTTTTTTTTTTCTTTTTCTTATTACATTGGCAATGTTTCGGCTGTTGTCACCATTTTCAAGCCATTTTAATAATGATGTTCATTGTGTTAGCACAACATTTTGTTTGTTTAGCCCCTTTCAAAATGTATCATTTATCTTAATTATGTCATGTGTTCATGTATATCATATTAAACATATAATTTTGCTATATAGGAGACAATCTATTAACAGCTGTCAGTGTTAGTCGGGAGTGTGGAATCCTGGCTCCTACAACACCTTTGTCTCAAGTTGTTGTAACATCAAGCCTACCAAATACAGTCAAACTTCAGCCTTTGAATTCTTCTTCCAATCACACTGAGGTAGCATTGGTTTTTGCTATAGATAAATATTTTAAAATGTGTTCTTGTTGTAATAACTTCTTTATTATATTAGGTTGATAGCACCTCTGCGCTTGCTGTTGATGGAGCGACTTGGAGCAAGCTCCATGATATCTTCCCATCATTGCTGCCTCTTGTAGCGACAAGAGGTGTTATTTTTGCTAGAATGTCACCACAGCAGAAAGCACATGTTGTAGAAACTTTGCAGTCACTTGATTACATTGTTGCAATGGTAGGAGATGGCGCGAATGATTGTGGAGTAAGTATTTTATCTGCTTTCAGCACTTTTTAAAGTGTTCACATCTTAAACATATTTTTTATACACCCTCTATTATTATTCATATATATTTTTTCAACATATAAAAAAAGTTGTCTAAGACAAATCCCCCATTTCAAGTTTTTCTCTACTTTGCATTCACAAATAAATAAACAAATAGAAAATTTAGCCAATGTTCCATATAGTCCAAATAATCCTCATTTTGCCTAAAGAATATAGCAGAATGAGGACAAACTCATTCAGGACTAAGTTTAAACTGTTGTCCTGCTCCCTCCTCCGTAGTCCTATAAAATTGAACTTATAGGTTATCAAAAATATCCAATAAATTTTCACATTTAGGGTAAAATAAAAAAATAAAAATTATTGTTCAACTGTGAATTTGTAGAGAGAGAAGGGTCTCTGATATTCTTGTGGGCTGTTCTCCTTTCCTCTTGACCACAATATTCTAGTAACACTGGAAAAACAAATGTTTATATGACAGCAAATGTGTTTTATGTTGATTTTATTTTAATAGATATGTGGTATAATGAATTATGGAATCTTCTTTTACATTAAATTATTTCATGTTATTATTTTCTGATAAAAAAATTATTTGACTCTTTTGATGTTCACCAATTCTCTTCTGGATTCCATCTACTCTTTTCAATATTGTGACGGCTTATTGTGGTGGGGTTATTGTACTAAAGCAGGAGCATCTGAATCATAGTGATTTGATTCCCGCCTATGGTTTTTAGACACTCCCACTCCTGTTTTTACATGTCACAACCTCTAGGTAGTTATGTGGATTTTGTAAAATGGATCAAAGAATTAAGTTGCCATTTACTAATGACAGTTAACTCCAGAGCTGTAATTAATATTTTTTCCAGACGGAAAACTTTTTTCATTCCTGTTTTCTCAATAAATGGTTTCATAAAAGTAGTTTAGGTAGTATTTATAAAAGAAAATCTTCAACTCATTTTATTTACTGGTCAAAATAATTAAAACTGAGAAATAAATATTTTTACTATACTAAAAAAATAAAATTTCATTTTAAATTTGCCACTTTCTAAATTTTGCCACCTCCTTAAATTGGTATTTATTCTATGAACCCCTATTATAGTGAAATTTGAGTTTGTTTATGTTTTTAAACTGCATACATTTGGAAAAATTCAATTAAATTGGAAATATAAAATGCCTTGTTAGATGTATTTTAATAATTAGTGAATTATTTTTATTGAATATTGATGACTTAAAACATTTATTTCAGGCATTGAGAACTGCACATATAGGAATTTCATTATCTACAGCTGAAGCTTCGATTGCTGCACCATTCACATCTTCAATTGCCGATGTAACATGCGTTCCAAAGCTGATCACGGAAGGAAGATGTTCTTTAGTAACAAGTTTTGGCATTTTTAATTACATGGAGTTGTACAGCATGATTCAGTTCAGTTCCGTCCTCATTCTTTATATAGTAAGATTTTATTTTTTCCAATATAAATGTATATTAAAGCTAAACAATTTTATATCTCAAGTACTATTATTTATTTATATTTTAATTTTATCGATCCAAAAAAAAAAAAATGATTTATTTAAATTTTAGATTGGTATTGAAATGGGAACAAATCAATTTCTTTATGTGGATCTTTTTGTGACTTCGAGTCTTGCTGTTGTCATGGGGAGAGCACGCCCGTCTGAACGCATCGCTCCACAAAGGCCTATCAGCAGCCTAATATCTTTGTCGAATGTCGTCCCACTGATTTTGCAAATTTTGCTCTGCATATTAATGCAATTACTGTCACTATATGTACTTCGACATGAACCTTGGTAAAGTATCTAGACATTTTTTTCAGATATTTTAAAAGAATACTTTTTAAGAAGATGGTATACATAATTTAATCGATACAGATATAAAAATCAATTAAGTTACACCTAATAAAATTAAATTTTTAAGTTATTTGGTTAATTTTTCTTCTGTAATTTAGGTTTCATGTTATTTCAATGCAATTTCTTTTTTCTTCTCTTTCTCACCTCTACCCTCAAGGGTCATTAACAATTTACTATAACTTATATACTTTTTTATTATTATGTTAAATTAAAAAACAAACTAGTGTCTCCCTCTTCAGGATCCTGTAGGATTTCTCTTAATGTTTTTGCCAGGCCTGTTTTTTATCTGTCATTTTCAAATGGGGAAGATTTTTCCATTTAGGTATTTCACTCTTTGAGGTATGTTACTGCATTTTCCACACATGGGCACTTCAAGATCTCTCAGGTGGTAGCCATGTGTAAACTGGCAATGTTCAATCATAAGCATAACTTCTCCTCTCCTTGAACTTCTAGATCTAGTGGGCCATTCACCACAATTAGATTTCATTTCTGTCAGTTTGCACTCTTTATTTTTCCATTCTTTCTCCCACTCTGCTCGTAGTGTCTGTATGCTAAATCCAGTTGAATTTCAATTGGATATGTCCTTAATATTTTGGCCATGGTCTATTTGTCACTGGTCTGTCTATTTTTCAACAAGGTATTTTTAATTCTGGGATATGTCTAATAATCTTCATGTCCATGTTTATTTTAGTTAATGTTTTATACTTTTCCTGATTAAATATGATATTTTCAATATCTTTAAGCACACTTCTTTCAAATTCTTCTTTTAAAAAATATGAAGTTATAGGGTAGTGTGAAGATGCTTTAATTTAGCAATATATTTAAGAGATAAAAATTCTCGCCTCAAGTTTAAGAATGGTTCTTTAGACTTGGAATAGATGCTGTCGAATGGGGAAGTTCGAAACACTCCAGTGTCAGCAGTGTGTTACTGGCTGTTCCATAAATATAGGCTCCATAGTTGATTTTATTTCTTATTATGTTTTGATATATTTTTGTTGAAGTATGTCTATCAGCGCTCCAGTTGGAGTTATGATTCAATGCAATTAATGATTTTTTTTCATCAATAAATGGGATTGAAATTCACAAATATGTATTTTCAAAATAGGACTTTCATCGGGAAGTCTTGAAGTCCAAAGAATATGTAATTGTAAATTTAGCTTCATCACTAGTGCGCTCATGCATAGATCGATGATATATTATTTCTAAATGTTGAATTTTTTTCTGTTTAATTTTCAATCTCTTGATTTCTTTAATCTTTTATACTTCTACTCGAAAGTTAAGAATAAGGTAAATTTTATTTTCCTTCATTATTAATATCACCATACCTTAATATAGTAAGGTAGTATAAATCTATTCATCCATCTACAAGGGTAAAATTTAGAGGCACATGGCAGTTAAGTATTGAAGCCCCATACTAAGCTTAAAAATAATTTGAAATCCTCAGTAGCTTTACTTCTGTTTCATAGAAATAGAGTTTATCAAGCCAGATAAAAGAAAGAATGCTTATAGAAATATATATATATGTATAAAATATTGAATATAATCAAATTTACAAATCTTTTCTAAAAACTCTTATCAACTATTTATGTAAAAAATATCTCCAATTAGTTAAATAATAGTACGTAAACAACTAAAAAATAATAAAAAGTCTTCTCAACTATACTTATAATTATACTGGAAAAAAAAAAGAATTACATAAATGTATAGAAAGAAAAACCAAAACCTCCAGAAAAGATTAAAAAAGAATATCAAAAGTACATAAATAAAAAGTATTGTCTTGTTATGTTAAAACTGAAACAGCTAAAACATACAAAATATATACATAGATTAAAGATATATTAATGACAGAAGATGAGCAATGGGATAAAAATATTGCATTATCCCGGCATAAGAGATATAAAATAAGAATAAATAGATACATACAATCAGGAAGGGGCATTACATAAATTTTATGAGAAAACAATTGTGGCAAAAAAAAAACTGATTAAAAGAAAATAAATTATTTATATATGCTATACAATACACAATGGTATTGCAAACTATAAAAATACACGGAGATTAAGATAGGAAAGGATATATATGTATACAAATTGAAGAATGTAAAAAATAAAATACATCTAAAATATACACAATCTTGTAGATGAAAAAAAATAGATAAAAACAACAAAAAATGTCTTATTTTTTAGGCATCACATCACAGTGCTATGCCAAAAGTGATACTTTATATTTCTGCTTCCATGTGTCTTTTGTTATATCATTTTATGTTTAATTAGTCTTTGGCTGCTTTAATCCCCTAAGTAAAATAGAAATAATTAGTTAAATATGTCCATCTTGTTTTCATTTTTTTAAAAACAAATTTTCTGTTTGTTTTATTTATTTATTGAAATTTCTTATAGGTATGTTCCAGTTGATAGAGCAGAAGGAGACGAGGAAGTAGTAGAATGTTGGGAAAATACAGCAGTATATTTAGTTAGTTGTTATCAGTATGTTATTTTAGCTGTTACTTATTCAAAAGGAAAGCCCCATCGAGAACCTATTTACAAAAATTGTGAGTAATCTATAAAAAAAAAAAAAAAAAATAATAAATATATGTGAATTCAAACATTTATAATTTAAATTAAAAATACTTTTATAATAGTTTTTGGTACTTGAATAACTTGAACATATTTTTAACATATTGCTTTATTTTTCAGGGTTGTTCATGGTAGTAGTAACAGTATTAGTGGGATTTAATTCAATTCTCCTACTCTTTCCATGGCATCAACTTACGTTCTATTTTGAGCTGATGCCATTTTTATTTAATGAAACTTTGAGATTCCGATTTCTTCTTCTATGCCTACCAATAGTCCAGCTAGTTTTTTCTCTAATCATAGAGGTAAGGTTTCCTATAATGAACTACTTAAATAGGCATATAGCAAATAATTTTTCACCTTATACAGGTAGTTTCATTGGACTTGTTAACTTATGACTATTTTTGTTGTTGCGTAGTACCTGTTGTTATAAATTGTTAAATATTTTTTTATTTATCAAATATATATTTTTTCAAGGAAAGGAAGATATTTTTCTATTCAATAAAATATAATTCCTTTTCTCCTTCCTTTTTTTTCATAATTTTTTAAAAAAAATGTTATTATTATTTTTCTGTATTTTTTCTTATTGTCTTTTTTTTCTTTTATTTTTTCCCTAAACTTTGTCTCTTTTAACAAAATTTTTTAAAACTAATTTTACAGCATACTGTTGCAAGGTCATTCTGGTTCAAATGGTGTCGTAGAAAAATTCTTAGGAAGAAGGAATTTAAAAACAAATATAAGACGGTGGAAACACAGATCCTTAATTCACGTTTTTGGGACCCTTTAAGTTTTTAGCACTTTTAAACAGTACTAAAAAAAAAAAGAAAAAAAAGTAAAGAAAAGAAAAAAAAAGTGATATATCATGATAAATGAAGTATTAAAAGTGATAACGTGTCCTATATCCCATTTTATTCAAAAGAAATGTATTGAAAAATGTGATAATAAATTTTATTTTGTTCTTCCAAGTGCGTTCTTTACCTAAGTGAACTCTACCAAATTTTGTTTATAATTTTGAACTGTGTGGTATAATAATTACATTTCTATAAATTGAATATTATGAATTTAAGATGGCTTTTGATCAATTAAGTCTTGATATTTGTAACAAGTTATTAAGAAACTAACTTGTTCTGGAGGGGATACATTTAAGATTGAGTGTTACTTCAATCAGAAGGAAAAGGTGAGCTCAGTTGTGAATGAAGAGCCACACTGAAATCAACAGTTGGTAACACTACAGGTAGGCTTTGAACAATTAAATTAGAAAATTAAAAAAAGAAAAGAAATGGGTAACATATAATATTATAGTTTGAAGATAAAAATATTAAATCCTACAATTCTTTTATTAATTTTCAATACTTATTTTTGTAATATGTTAAATCAAACTGAAATTCTTATTTTATTCACTCTTTAATAAATGTCATTACATATTGTTTTTGCATCATGTTATTCATCGTAAAGATAATGAATGAACAAATGAACCTACAAAAAATAAAACTGTAATGAATACTTGAAGATTTTTATGTTAGTTTCAAATTGTATTGCCTTTTTTTATAAATGTGAAGAATTAAAAATATTTTTAATCGGCAGTTTGTATTTTTTGTGAAGTAAAAACTTAATTTCAAGCTGATATTAAATCAGTCAATTATAGCTGTTATTATTTTATTTGAAACAATCATTCCTGTGTTTTGATACTAATAAATTTAAAATGGACCTTACTAAAGCTTTTTCTTAATTTAAAATTTTATTCCATCATTAAGTTTAACTAATTATTTTTTTAAAACTCCTTATTAAATAATGCCAATGTATTATAATAACGTTTTTTTAGTAAACATTGTAAAATTTACAATGCTTATACTTTTCTCATAGTTTTCATTCTTTGAAATTCATTTGAAACCCTAGTTATCTTGGAGTTGAGTGCTGTCCTATTCAAGAAAAAAAAATTAAATAACGAAGATATTCACACGATTTTAGTGGCAAAAACTTGAAAATTTTAGTAAAAAAATTCCCGTAATTACCTTTTTAAAAAATAAATTCCATCATGAATGTTAATCACTCAAAAGAGGGTGATAAGCAAAAATTTTTTTCTCGGAAATCCTTGGAAATTGTTAACCAAAATTCATCAAAAACTAGTTATTGTGTCTATGGATACTTAACTGTTTTTTTAAACTTGTTTATTGAAAAGATTATAATCTGTCTCAAAGGACATTTGTAACAGTGTTCAGAGATCACATTTACACTCTATGTACAATGAAAAAAATAAATTATATAGAAAACTAATATATATACAATAAATAAGTATAAAATAACCTATAAATAAAAAAGAACACAGGATACTTGACTAAATTGCAAAAGTTACTTCTAATTTGTTTTATTTCATTCTAGCTATAATTAGTTTTTACTGATTTTATTTTAGTTAAATCTTCGGGCAGTTTATAAGTTTTTAGTCCCCTTACTACTTCATTGTTAACCAGATTGTTTTCAAAAGGTGCCTATAGAGGTTTCACAAACTATAGGACAAACCCTGGATGGATCTAAGGGGAGGATTTGGGGCTGAAGCCTCCCCCCCCCCTAAGATGGTAAAATATAACCATGTTTTATGGAAAAAAATGATCTCTTAAAGCATTATTGTTCGTGTAATTACATTTAAAAGGACTTTAGGAATCACTTAAACACCATTTCATATAGGTAGTTAGTTTTTCTTTTTTTCCATAGTGATTATTTTCCTGCTCATCACTTGAAACTAAATTCCTCAAAGAGCTAAGTTTTTTTTTTTTTGTTTGTTAGATTATTGGAATAAATCTTTTTTTTTTCCATCAGATAATAAATTAAATAGGTACAGATAAGTATTGTGACTTTTTTGTCAATGGACACGTAAATGTTCGCGTTTAGGAAATGTATGAATTGACGCATTTTCATGAGCATAAGTGGAACTTCGTTACATGAAACCAAGCATTGATGTATCATTTCTTCTATTTCAATATACAAAAAAAACTTTAGGATAAAATTACCAATAACTGACCGTGTACCAATACCTGACACCCTCCTCGAAAAATTGGAATAATAAAATTTCAGGGCCTCTTAGACCTCTAATCCATTTATTTTTAGTTTCTATATTTTCTCCTTGTATATTTGTCTGCTTTGCTTTAGTCTTACCGAAAATCGCTAATGATTTGGATCAAATATAAAGCAAAAATAGGTTTTCCTATTTCCAAAAACAGGTTCTAAACAGAGACCTGAATTTATTGATAGATTTAAGTCGGGAAACGTAAGAAGTTAGTTTTATAATAAGTAAAAGGTAATTTTTGTTAATCTTAAAATGAAGAATATGAAATTTTCCTTAATTATTTCGTTTTTCTGGTCTATGTCAGTTGTAGGAACATTTCAAATCAAATAGCGTCTGCTACTGGTACAACAAAACTATTCTCTTAATTTTCATTTTTTTTTTTTTAATTTAGATAAATTTTTCATGGATTTGAAATATTTCTTTGTAAGGCGAGAAATAGTTCGATAAGATGAATCCATGAGAATATAATAATATCAATATTTAAGTTTTGACACGTAAAAGTTGAATGAAATTTCCTTAAGCATGTCAGCTACTGGTGCATTTATCCTAAATGGTTTTGACACTTTACAATTTAAAAGTAACAATTTAATAATTGCATTGAACCCATACGTACCGGTAAGTAGGCACTAGCGGATCCAGAATTTAATTTTGGGGAGGGCTTCAGCCCGAAACCTTTTTTTTTTCATAAAAATAACGATAATTACTTTGGAAAAACAGAAAGAAACTGACTACCTATATGAAATGGTGTTTAAGTGATTCCTTAAGTGATTTTAAATGTAATTACACGAACAATAATACTTTAAGAGGTATTTTTAAAAATAAATTTCCCATAAAACATGGTTATATTTTTCCATTTTGGGGGGGACTTCAGCCCGAAAGCCCCCCCCCCGTAGATCCGCCCGTGTAAGTAGGTAAAGTTTCTTTCAACCGCTTGCTCAGGTCAAGGCATTCAGTTTGCACATCACAGGACCTGTGGGAACTATGAGGGCAATTTTCATAAAACAACCTTGGTTTTCATTATTTTATTTTTTAGAAAACAAGTGAGCTGTAGAAATTATTATTTGTTATCGAAATTATTAACTTTAATTATTAAACTTTATTAGTTCCGTCAAGTTTGTAATTATTTAACGTTTTGAACGAGTTGATTAGATTGGTCACAGACACAGGCGGATCTACGGGAAGGGAAGGTGGCTTTCGTGCTGAAACCCCCCTCAAAACTGTAAAATATAACCATATTTTACAGAAAAAAATATTCTTGCTATTTATGAGAGTACAGGCCTGATGGCTATTGGCAAACGTCCTCATTTCTTCAGTAGCTGTCAGTTACTAGCTAACACTCATTAAATATCCAATTCCTTCATCAAGATCAGTTAAGAACAGATAAAACATAATTTAAAAATACTCTAAGAAAAGATAAACCAAACTTTTTAGGATAAATCGAAGTAGTTAAGGGAAAAAGTTAAAACTAAGGTATGGTGCTCTTAGTGAAAGATGGTTGTTGCTGGGACACTAAGTGGACCGTGAGGGACTTTCCTAATTTACCACTCATTATTTCGGTTGCGATTTCCGGCAAGACTAATGCAAAGCAGACAAATATACAAGGAGAAAATATATAAACTAAATATATATGAATTAGACGTCTAGGAGGACTTGAAATTTTATTATTCCCATTTTTCGAGGAGGGTGTCAGGTATTGATTGGTAGACGGTCAACTATTGGTACTTTTACCCTAAAGTAGTTGTTTTTTTGTATATTGAAATAGAAGAACTGATAAATCATTGCTTGGTTTGATGTAACGAAGTTCTACTTATTTTCATGGAAATGCGTCAATTCATACGTCTCCTAAACACGAACAATTACGTGTCCATTGACAACAGAATCACAATATTTATCTGTATCTATTTAATTTATTATCTGATGAAAAAAAATATTTATTTCAATAATATAACAAAAAAAAACTTAGCCCTTTGATGAAAACTTATTTTCATTTATTATTTATTGAATAAACACAACTAATTGCATTGCTAGATTGCGTACAGTTTGTTAATTCCGTTGTTATTATTGGATGATAAAGGATCCCATTTGACCATATTGAATCGTACACTAAACAGAATACGACCCGGTATGGGCAAATAAGATCCTGTATCATTAATAAAACAAACTTTAACGAACAGTTAGTAACTGTCGTACTCTAAACTTAGTAGAGATGATAAATTAATCAGAAAACGACGATAAATCAAATAATCAACCAATTTTAATGATTTATCAGATATTAAGTTGAAATACAAAAACTTTTATTGGTGCTTTTTAGTTGAGGAATCGCTAGTAATTAAAAATTATTACATAAATTTAATTTATTTATTTTTTTTCTTGTGTAATTTATTTCAAATTAATTATTAATTTGGAGTAGATTCAAGAAAAAATCTTAAACGTTGTCATTAAATACAGATATAATACGTACTTCAACAAAAAAATTGAATAGATCAGATAATCATTGTACAATTTGAATGTGTAAAAAAAAAATAATAATAAGAATCGAAAAAAATTATGTTTTTTTTTTTCTTTTACTAATATTAGTTCATCTTACAGACCCCTTTTTATCGAATTATTAACATCCGGCAGAAACTTCGTAAATAGCTTCTTCTCATCGTAACCTACTAATATTTTATTTACGAAAAGTCTTGGAATTGGGACATTTTCAATCTGGAGGTCGGCAAACTTTTGTCTATTTAATTAGGTAGTAAAAAAGTCAAGAAAAAAGATGACCTTCAAAAATATTGAGCCGTTTGGTGTGACCTTTACCCCCAAACTGTAAAAATAACGAGAGGACTCATTTCTTCTTACGAAGTTTCAGCCGGATGTTAATAATTTGATAAAAAGAGGTCTGTACCACGAACTATATTCTGAACACTATTTGATCAAAGTTGTTTGAATGTATTTTTAATAAAAAAAAAAAAATGTAACTTGTAGAAAATATGCTTACATTAAAATTCGATATTAGAACAGAATATATCAATATAAAAAAAATCAAAAAAATCCAGGGATGGAATTGAGGACAAAAATATTTATTGGGACTAAATTTATATTAAAAAAAAAACACACAAAAAAAATAGATAACTATAATACTCACATGAATTTCGTTAATAACAAAACGGTTACTTGCGTTCATTATT